CTCTCTTCTTGAAGACGTTGAAAGCTCGAACATAGAGGAACAAAAGTGATGCGCCGACAGCGGCTTGACGACCACTGCGAGCTGGTCTGAACGGCGGACAAAGGGTCTCAGCTTCTTTGGCAGCAATACCCCACGCGGTGGCGTCCAATTGTAAGAGCCGAAGAAGCACTTTTGACTCTCGCCTTGACCCGGCCATTGAAGATGAGCTTAGAGAAAGAGCTGCAGCGACATGTTTCAAGCATGGCACGCGACAATGGTAGCAGCTCTTCGGTCTCAAAGTATCGGTTTAGAAGCACGTGCGACTTTTCGAGGCGCGCCCATCGGATGGTCAACGAGTGATGCAGCCACTTGAGTGTAACTTTGCCACGGCGCGGCCAAAGAAAGGAATCTGGAAGCCTATTGGCATCGGTACAGCGCTGCGCAATCTTGCTACTGCGGCCAGGTTCACGGGACTGCGGAGAGCCAGCCACACGCCATCCCAACATCTCTGCGGGCTGCGGCATACGTGCTTGGCGCGTCAAGATGATGTGGTCGATGACATTCAACCTCTTGGATCTCGAGCGATATACACTTCAGCCACCTCCACCTGATTCTGGCTGCGCGGCAGCAGGTAGATCCTACATGTGCAACCTGCGCAGCGATGCTTTCGGCACGCTGAGATCAAACGTTGGTGTAAAAGACACACGCTGGCATAGCTTGGTCGACTCTTTATAGCGATGGTCATTGTATTGGTTTGAGCAAGCATCACCACTTTTTCGCGCTCCCTCAGAACACCCTGGCGGTCAGAACACCCTGGCGGTCGTTCGACGATACAATTCCCTTTGTTGCTCTGCTTACCCGTCTAAGTGCGCTTCAGCGTCTTGACCTCCGACATGCGGCCCACTTGGCTTGCTTGCACAGCTATCATTGCTTTGGCGGCGCTTTCTTCTGGTAGACCGGTGGAAGCAGCTAGGAAGGACGTGACTCGAAGCAGGACTTCGCTCGCGATCAAGCACAACAGCCCTTTACCAAGCACATCCCCATTCGAAGCTGCGGTGATGGTGACGGACAGTTATGCGCCGATGTCGCTCTCCCCTTCCCATGGACCTTTGTTCCACGATGATGCACGATCCTCATCACCGCTCGTTCGAGACTTTGCTGCTTTCAGCCAAGGCAGATCAATTCCATTGGGGAATGAAGTCCACTCTCACAGCTTGCATCACTGAGGGATCAGCATGGCGCTCCTCTCAAAGTGCGTGGTGCTTGTACGCTAATGGAACTACACTTTGAACGGGTGCATACTGCCGCGTCCCTTGCTCACTCGCGTCAAGGCCACCGAAGCCGACCCAACAGGTTTTGGTATGGCGGGCCATTGGCGCCATGACGTGCTGATCGATAGGGACGAGCTTTGGTCATCACAATGCAGACGAAGTATTGCGTCAAGGACGGCTGGACCGTCACAGAGACCCAGAAATTGTCCCAGTGCTCCGCTAAGCATTTGAAGATGGTTGGGAAACCGTACGCACCATCTCACGTTCTTGACTCACGACTGCGCCAACTTCTGCACCTTTGCGCCTTCAGCATCATCGACGACGTCGCCCAAGCCGCGCAGCCCAAAGCCGTGCATAGTGGCGCACGACGGCGACGGCTGACAGGACGTCGGCCGATCATCTGAGCGCGACCTTGGCTACGATTGCTCGCTTCGGTTGCAGACTTACGAGCTAGTGCGGACGATGGGCTTCATCGTTCCCTCTGCTTGTTTGCGGCAAGATCTGAAACCTCGCAATGTACGACTCCACAGACGGTCACTCTGTGCTGATCACTTCGACGATGTGGATCTGCAAGCGGTCCTAGCGTGACGCTTGCGAGCAACTCAGCTGGGGACACTTCCCATGGGCCAAGGTCACGTATGTGAATTTGATGCAATCAACAGAGAGAAGCTGCTGTGAAATAAATTCAACTTTTACTGATACTCACCATGTATTTGCGTGCTGCACTCCCGAGGTCGGGCGCGCCAAGAAGGGAAAGCAACCGAAGCGAGGTGGCATGTCCGCGCTCCTCAATCTTGACTATCCGTGCCCGTAAAGAAAGACTTTTCTGTCAGGAAAGGGCACTTTTCGCATGGACTCGTGATCGAGGCCCGTGTCGCGCGTAGATCTCGACTCGGTCTGCACTCTACACCTGACGCCAGGATAGCATAGTAGATGGCCTCTCTCCACTTGAGAATGCGAAGCTCCTTCCTCTGCGGACCAGTGCTGGAGCCAGACTCTTGCTAGCCTCCACTCGCGCAAAGTTTCTCACAGTGACCTCTCGTGTGTTGGCTAACTTGTAGCTTGGCGACAACAGGGGGCGAAATCAGACGACCTTCGCTATATACGAATAGGGACTGGATACGCCGAAATTTGGTCTCCCGCGAATAAGCGAGCCGGCGGGGCCTGCCCCTTCGCCCGCTTGTGTGGCTTTGACATCGCGCTGTGATGCGCGTCGCTTTTGCTGGTGTGGGCAAATATAGGGAGCCTTCCGTGCTTCTCAGGACCATTTGGCGTTCCGCGCTCAGCCACTGAGTGACTACTGTGTGACTCTTATGACGAGTCAAGAGTTGACATGAATGTTGGGCAACTCTGATGTCTCATCATGAGAATCCGAACAATCACATGAACTCCCATGAAAATACAAACACGGATGAATGGCCGCAAGGACGGATTCGCTTGCGGGCATTTTACGATTTTTGAATTGACCGCCGTAATTGGCGTGGCATGCCGTCTTTTCCACTCACGACTCCAGTGCAGTAGGTGAGACTCCATGCAAGGCCCAAGACGGGACATGACGGCATATGATGGCACGCGCGTGCGCGTGCGCGTGCGCGCTTTGTTTCTCCCT